TCAAATCAATTCAACTAAAATCAATATCCCCAAATTCAATTAAACGTGCACGCTTGCGTTCCCGCTCTGACTCCGTTCACACATTCACTTTTCACTCACTTGGGCACCTTAGCGCTTTCATGCGTCTGTGTATGGGTTTATTTATCTGCTTTAATTTATCTGCTTTTACCTTCCTGCAATTTATTTTACCGTATTGCATAAACGTCCAAAGGAATAAGTTGCACATAACTTAAACAATTGTGTGTATGCATCTCATTTGCATCCTACTCCCCATTGATCCTTGATCTTGTTCAAGTCGATCTTTTAAGATAGATCCTACCCATAGGAGGACCTTTTGTCTTTTATCTTTACAACATAGGAAAAACAATTCAACAACTCAATATCAAACTTTTCAAACACAATAGAGAATAAGACATGAGTCATCTTGACAGTCGAGATATAAATCTCCTGCCTCATAACAATACAATCAATTTTCCTACAAGTTGTGGTGGCTAAGTCAAGTCTTCTCCCTCGAGATGACAATTCGTCTTTTCTCCTAGACCCAATCAATCAACTACCCTTATCCCGTAGGAACTTTGACCACAGTCAAAGAACTCCTCAAACCCTTTAGAGGAACTACAGATACTCTGATTCCATTCCCGTCAGGATATGTAGGCACAAGATGCGATATATTGTCAAGTATACTTAGAAATAAACCCCTAGGTCTCTCATCCTTAAGCAGATAACCCTTAGCAATAAACACATTAAAACAAGAGGTTCCTGTAGAGTACTATAGAAACTTAGGATGCTAGCACCTTCCCTAAGTTTAACCAACCCCCGAACCTATAACTCTCTAAACTTTTGCATTTGCATTGCATTGTGGGTAATTCGATCTTTTTCCCTTCCTTTGGACAAATTAAAGTTCGGTTGCAAATGAATTAAGATTCAAGCTCATCAATAGCTTGGTATCCAAATTTCACCGCGACAGATTCATACCATGATTTCTTGGAAAATAGGTAGCCAACATTTTCCCTCATTCAAAGGGAAATGATTACTACTTCTTAGGGTTTCCTAAACCTTAGGCCCAAGAGCTTCTATATATATCTTACCCTTAAAGGGTAGAAGACAAATCATAACTTAACTAGCATATGCATAATGCATAGCCTCTCACCTCACGTGAGTTGACCTCTCTCATCATCGAAAACACCATAATACCACCAAACATGGCCTCTCGCCACTGCAGGCAAGCCCTAACCATTATAAAACTACTAAAGCCTATGAGTATCCCCTACCCATGTAAGGATATCATGCACACTTGTAATTTTTTATGAGTATACATATCAAGAGTCATTACTACATTTCCAACAAGGGTTACATATGAATATTTAGAATTGGTGGATTTCTGAGTTTTTTCTTCTCTTTTTTCTTAAACAACACTCTTACATCTCTAAGCATAATAAGTAGTACACAAAAATTACACAAATTAGGGTTAAGGAAAACACAAAAATGAAAGAGTCAGAGGGCTGCTATGGGTGCCCATAATAGGGCAGGGTTTCACTTTCATATAAATTATAGACAGTACTATGCCCCTGGTAGCAGTTGTTACAGGCTGTAGAAGATCCCAGAAAAGTGGGGCTTTCTCTCTTTGTGTTCTCCACCTATAATGAGTCAAAAATCCAACCTAATGCATTACAACATATCCATACTTGCAATTACATCCGAAAAGCACATTCCAAGGCACAAAACATTCTTAAGGATAATGCACTACAAGAAAATTGGCAAATTGCAACAGTTTGTTTTGGCAGGTTACAACTGTTAAAACCGCCGCAATTTGCATGTTATGAGTGTTGCATCTTCATCCCACAATCGCGCAACGCCGTTGTTCTCTTTCACGACGGTTAAGAACTAATGTAACCTGAATATTGTAACGGTTACCAATCTTCGTGGAATTTCATTTTGAATTTTATGAATATTTTTTAAAAACTAAAAATCTACCTCAATTTTTTAGTATTATTATAAAATAAAAAAAACAACAAAAAAATGCAAAGCCTCCACGGATTAGAATAGTCGATGCTAGAGTTAGAAGAACCCTTCTCTTTCAATAAAATTAAGTTCATGTGAATGTATTTACATGTGAGGACTTGGTGATTCGTCTTCTTCTAACTCTAGCATGTGAGGACTCGGTGATTCGTCTTCTTCTAACTCTAGTTCACTCGAAGTATACCAACACGCATGCAATCGCCTAAAAGTAGAGTAACGTCTGCTTCCATAACTGCCCTGCACGCCAAGTTTTATGTGATTGATGCCAAATATAATTAATAAAGCCATTATAATTAATCTATCAAAATTAACAAATCTTATATTTTTTAATATCGGTGAATTACTTAAATAAGATGGAGGATGTAACTTATAAAGTATACTTCGTGTCATAAAGTTAATTCAAATATTAATTATATTTAACCATTTTAAGACTAAAGTTACTGTTTTTACTTCTTTTTATCAATGACTCATCTTTAAGATTAAAAAAACAACCTCTAAATTGTTTAAGATAGCATTAACACATTTAATTAATTAATTAATTAATTAATTAATTTTGTATCAACTACTCCTTTTGTTTTTAGTTATAAACATATTTTAATTTTTTAATTTTATTGAATAAATAATGTATTTTTTTATCATATAGTCAAAGCATATTACAAATCGACTATTAATTATTATATTCGTCTCAAATTATTTGATGTTATGGGTATTTTATACAAATTAAAAAATACAATTAATTTTGTATAAAAAAATGAAAGAATTAAATGAAGAAGAATAAATAGTGGATGTATATTTAAAAAAAATCATTAGTGTTAAAGTATTTTTCACAAAATAATCTATAATTTGTAATACAGAGAGAACATTTAACCATTTTAAAGTTAAAATATTAATTATACTTCTTCTTATCAATGATTAAATTTTTGATTGAAAAATGGCCTTTAAGTTATTTGAGATGAACTAGTTTATTTAATCTTGTATTAACTATTAATTAATTAATACTCAATAGTAAGTAAATATTTCTTTCAATTTAGTTAGATGTTCCTCGGCCATGATATTCAATTATACTAAATGTCTTGAAGCTTTAAAGGAGAGCTTTGGAAAGATTAATTTGAAAATACCAAGTTTATAAACAATATATATATATATATATATATATATATATATATATATATATATATATATATATATATATATATATATATATATATATATATATATATATATATATATATATATATATATATATATATATATATATATATATATATATATTAATTAACTAAAAAAAATGTTAATGAGTGTACCCAAGACACTAGTTAAAAAATTAAAATGGTAAATTAAATAATATTTAAGAAATTTAAAAAAAAACATATTTTTTAATATATATTTATTCAATATACTAAAAACAAAAATAATTAATATTTTTAAAAAATAAATGAACTCAACCTAACATATTTTTTTTAAATTTAGAATTCTTAACGAGTGTGTCTGAGACATTGATTAATATGATCCATTAACTAATAATTTATAATCTCATGGACTATAAACTATAATTTATCTATTTCATTTTTATCATTCTTGTTGCACTCCAAATTTGTCCTACATTTACATGGTTTCTAGTGCCACTTTATTTTAAATGAATAAAATTGCACAATTGACAAGAGACCGTGTGTGATGAGTTGGGAATGTGAGAGGTTGAGAGTTTGAATCTCACCTTCTTCGCTTTTTGTTTTTCTTTATTTTTATTCTAACTTTTCTATTTTTCATTAAAAAATAAAAAATAGTTTTTTAATTATTTAATTATTATTTTCGTATTTTATTTAAATTATTTTTTAAAAAATATTATTTTAATTTGTTTAAATTTTATTTAGTTTTGACTAATTATTTAAATTGGGCTTTAAAGTGGGCATTAGATTAGAGTTAACCCTAATTTGTTACTTGTATAAACATAAGTTGTATTTGAGAAAAGGAGAAGGAGACAAAAGAGAAAAAACAGCGGCCGTTCTCACGACTTATCAGAAGCGAGGAGATTTTTAAAAAACCTTCAAGACTTCATCATCAAGATCAAAGATTCACCACCATCGGGTTCATCATCAAGATCAAAGATTCACCACCATCGTCCGATAGAAGTTTCGAATTCGGCCGTTATTCCGTAAGAAATTTATCAAAATTGATTTATGGTTTTATTTTCATGTTTTTTTAGGGACACATTCAGCGGGAGAGGAACCGCACATACAACGTGAAAGAGATGAGAAAAGCTTTAGAAAAATTGAGCGAAAAGCTCTTTGAAACTTTAATGGCCGCCGCGTAGAACAGAGAGAATGAAGAAGATAAAAAACTATTTAAAATAACAATAAGAAAAAGCGTACACATACATTCTATAATATTTTATAAAAATATAACTCTGTATTAGTCTATTAAAATATTTCCGTAAACATTTAATCAATAATACATATTGTTGTGGTAAAAAAATCAATACAATAAAAAATTATTAATAAATTTTTCTAAGTTGAATTATAGAAATATCTTTTCTATATTATTCGGTGTATATTTAATATTTTATATTCAAAATTAATATAAGATTAATTAAAATATATTTTTAATGTAAAACTATTTTACACGGTATAAAATAAATAATTTTGATATATAATTATAAAATTAAAAATAAAAAAATTAAATTATAATTAAACTATTTTAATAATAATTTTTTTATATTTATTGTTTTTATGTGTTAAAATAGTTAATTATAATTTTCCTGATATGTATTTTTGAAAACCTAATGTATTCCTATAATTGGTGCGGTGGGTGAACAAATGAAGTCCTAGTTATTTGGATCCTTTCTTTTTTATATATATCATGCCATATTGATGAATTATTGGAGCAGTGGCATTGCGTATATATATTCACGTGTGGAGAGGAGTGTCACTAGTGTTTGCCTGACTAGTTTAGTTTTTTTGTTATAGTTTTCGGAGTGTGGCTCCATGGATGATCATACTCTCCCTCTTCCTTCCTCCGACGACGTCGTCCTCAACGTTCCCGATTCTCCTGCATGTATTCAAAAACAGGTTTGTACTCGTTTCCTTCTGTTTTTTCTGGGTTATTATTTTTACCAATTAACCAACAATGCAATCGCAGGGGAAGGGGAAAAAGGGCAATATCGTCCTTGCATACAAGACTCTAGGCGTCGTTTTCGGTGGTCTTGTTACTTCACCGCTTTACGTTTACCCTTCAATGCCTCTCAATTCTCCAACTGAACAGGACTATTTGGGAATTTACAGTATCATGTTCTGGACTCTCACTCTCATTGGTCTTGTTAAGTATGCTAACATCGCCATCAAAGCAGATGATCACGGCGAAGGTACCTTACGTCACTTTCCTTTAACTAAATATTCATATTGTCAAGGTTTTAAATAACTGCCGCCGCCGCCGTCTCAATTTGTTTCTTGTTACAAAAACAGTGAATTACTGTGATTTATTTTGCGGTATCTATGTAGGGACGACATTTCAGATTTCTGATTGAAGGCGTGTCTGTGCCCGACACATCAAAAGACCATGTGATCTAGTTAATTCATGCACACGTTGGTGTTATATCCAGTTGTGTTCGGTGTCTGTTAGTTTTGTATTACTACTAGGTTAGCGTTATTTTGGTTTTATGTTTGGAGCGGTTAGAATTGATTCGGAAGGTATAAAATTGATTTGACATGTTTAATTACTCTTGAGTATAGTTGCGGTCGGACGCATATGTTAGTTTTGTGTTACTACTAGGTTACTGTTACTTTCCCTAACCCTATGGCTGGACTGGCTAGAATTGATTTTGAAGGTGTAGAATTGCTCATAAGTATGATTGATTTTGCTTTCTGAATTGATTCTAATATAAAGATATAATTTGTAGTTTTGAGTCTAAACATGATTTTAATAGTGAAATTTATTGTTTAGAACTTATTTTTAAGTAAGTACATTCAAATAGAAATCACTTTAGAGTCAACTCACTTTTAAGTAAAATCAATTCAGTCAAAATCATTTTTTATTGTTGCAGAACCAAACATCACTAAATTTTCATAATAATGAATTTCAATTACATTGCAGGAGGGACATTTGCTCTGTATTCGTTACTTTGCCGGCATTTCAATATTGGGATCTTGCCTTCTAAACAAGTTGGTTTGACCTCACCTAAGGTTACTGAATCGCGTACTTGGCTTGCTAAGTTGTTCGAAACTAGCCTCGTTGCGAGAAGGCTTTTGCTTTTCATTGCTATGTTGGGTACTTGTATGCTTATTGGTGATGGTATACTCACACCTGCAATTTCAGGTTTGTGAATTATTATTTTTGGTCTCTTTGAAATGTGGTTTTATTTCGGTTAATTTGTGTATTCGTTTACCTTCTCAGTCTTGTCTGCAATGGATGGAGTTAGAGCGCCTTTTCCTTCTTTTACCAAAAGTAAGTTTTCGGTTACAACTACAAACTTTTAATACTTTGCGTGTTGTTTTGTTTTTACTCCCTTGCAGTTATTTAAGTAGGTTTTGACACATGGCAACTTTCACCAAATATTTGCAAATGATAACTTTCTTTGTTGCTCAGATTGTGTTCAAATGTTGAGTAGGATGCCTTCATGAACACTTACTGTTAGAACATTGTTCAATGTTATGATAAATTTTTGTTTAGGAAACTGTAACAAAGGGAGAATTCGACCATGCATTGTCCATGAACAAATGCCGGTGAATAGAAAAAATGGGCGATAAAGTAACCCTACAATGCCACTTTTGTTTTAGTACATTTTATGCACAAGTTCTTCGCGCCGTTTAGTACTTTCCATTACTGTTATTGCATACTGGGATTCCAACTTAGGATGAGTAGCTTGTGACCATCATACTTATTTAAATGATTTGGATAACACATATCTGATATAATCAATCTGCTTGGCATACAACAATATCAAATTATATGGTATTTCTACTTTTCTAGTTCTAGAGCAGGTCAGATTTTGTTGACTTTGTAATGCAATTTGTTCTCCTGGTTTATGTAATCTGATTCCTGTCTTTGCATATGCTTTTGCAGCATGGGTAGAAACACTCTCTGCAGTTGTCTTGATCTTTCTGTTCTTGTTGCAAAAATTCGGTACATCCCGTGTCAGTTTCCTCTTTTCTCCAATAATGGGTGCATGGACCCTCTGTACTCCACTTGTGGGAATTTACAGCATCATACACAACTATCCAACTATATTCAAGGCTTTATCTCCTCACTACATTGTCCAGTTCTTTTTGAGGAATGGAAAATCTGGGTGGCTTTTACTTGGTGGTACTGTCCTTTGCATTACAGGTATGTATCTTACTGTTATTATTCTTATCCACCCTTTTTGCAACTTGCAAGATCAGCCTTTTTGACGCACATCTGAACAAATTATCACTGAAGGACACCTTTATTTCTCTGTCAAGTCATATTATAAATTCATGTGTTGTGTTCTACTACTTGCTGAGCAAGTCATAAACAAAATAATGTTATATGTGAATTGAGCAAAAGAAAATCTTGCGAGCTAATAGCGAGGGACTCACTAGAACACATCCAAGCACTGAAATTTAGGCGGAAGCTTGTCTAGATGAGCAAGCCAATTTTTTTATTATTCAGAGTCTCTTTGACCTTTGACAGGAATATAGCAATCTGTTCCCAATTTAAAAATTTGACCACTTTATATGTTGCATGGGAAGACGTACTTATCCAAATGGAAATGCATGCATATTATAGTACTTTTTTTTTCCGTTTGTTCTTTGTTGATTTCTTCCCTTTGACAGGTTCTGAGGCAATGTTTGCTGATCTTGGTCATTTCAATCCGCGGTCCATTCAGGTAACTTTTATGATTTTTGGCCTCTAGTTCCAGATTGTGATTCCTTTTCAGCAAGTAATGGTCTTTTCTCTTTGTTATTTTTGGTAACAGATAGCTTTCATATTCACAATCTATCCATCTTTAGTTCTGACTTATGCGGGGCAGACAGCATACCTGATTAAAAATCCCAATGATCATAATGATGGCTTTTACAAATTTATACCAACTCCAGTTTACTGGCCTATCTTTATCATTGCAACATTGGCTGCAACTGTTGCTAGCCAGTCATTGATATCAGCCACCTTTTCTGTGATCAAGCAATCTGTAGTACTCGATTATTTTCCTCGAGTGAAGATTGTACACACATCTCCTAATAATGAAGGAGAAGTTTACTCCCCTGAAGTGAACTACATCCTTATGATCCTTTGTGTTGCTGTCATACTTATATTTGGAGATGGAAAAGATATTGGAAATGCTTTCGGTATGGCAGTTTCTGAAACCCATTGCTCTTTTGACATATAATAACATCAATCAGTTATCACCTGATTAAGAGAACACGATACTCTTTTATTCACATCATCAACTACATAACATTGTTTAGCAACTCTTTTGAATTTGAATTTTGGCAACTGACACATAATAGATTGAATAAAAGGGTTCTGTTATCATTAATCTGGTGGTTCTCAATCCTAAAATTCTAGGATTGTTACTCATGTCTACCAATAAACATAGCTTTTGGCCATATAGTGACATTAGGATTGTCTTCTATTTTATTGTTTGGAACTATTTAGTCTTTGCAATCTTCTCATTTATGGTATAACGTTTGTTGCAGGTGTTGTCGTGAGCCTGGTGATGCTTATCACCACTATATTACTTACACTAGTCATGATTATGATATGGAGAACTCATGTGGTGCTGGTTTCCATGTACTTCTGTGTGTTTTTTGTCATGGAAGGTGTTTATGTCAGTGCAGTTTTCACTAAATTTGCTGAAGGTGGATGGGTTCCTTTTGCCATATCTCTAACCCTCGCATTCATCATGTTCGGTTGGTTTTATGGTAGACAGAGAAAGATAGATTACGAGTTAACCCACAAGATAACTTTTGAGAGACTTGAATATCTTTTGGCTGACTGCAGTGTTCAAAGGGTTCCCGGGCTATGCTTTTTCTATTCTAACATTCAAGATGGACTAACTCCTATTCTTGGACACTACATAAAGAACATGAAATCCCTTCATAAGGTTGCAGTATTTACAACTCTTCAATATTTACTAGTCCCCAAGGTTGCTCCACATGAGAGGATTGTCATCAAAAAATCAAATCTTGAAGGAGTATATTGCTGTGTTATTCAGTATGGTTATGCAGATGCTCTAAACACGGAAGGATCTAATTTTGTAGATCAAGTCATAAATAATTTGAAAATACATATACAGAATTGCCCCGGCAATCTTTTATCTGATTCTCAAAAGATTGAAGAGGTCTCCAGCTTAGAAGAAGCGCGACTTGCTGGTGTTGTTCATGTTCGCGGAAAGACGAGATTTTATATCGGCTTGAACTGTGGCTGGTTTGATAAAATCATGCTTGCTTTTTACGAAGTCATGCACAGTAACTGTAGATCTGGCCTGCCTGCTCTAGGAATTTCATTAAAGCAACGGATGGAAGTTGGAATGCTTTACGAAGCTTGAAAGGTTAACTACATTCAAGAACTTAATGTTCACATAATTCTGCAGCTTCACTAACTCATTGTGTTCCATATACATGATACAACATGTAAGTGTGATCAAAAGGGATTAAGCAATAGGTATCATGTATGTGCTAAAATCCTACAAGTAGAAAACATCATATTGGTTGAATCATTTGCTTGTATAAGAACAGCTGAAGTGGTCCTATATAGTTTTAATATTAAAAAGTGGAAGCATTACTATTTACTATACATAATGTCATGTTTTGTCTATATTTATGTTATTTTATAACACTGAAACATTTTGTCAAAAATGACAGTTATTGTACTTTAAATATTAAAATATATTTTGGTCTATGTTGTTTATTTGGTTTAACAGAAGTTAAAAAAAAAAATCCGAAACTAAATCCAATAGAAGGAAAGCATCAGCATTTTTACTCTTATTATTTTAATGAATAAACTTGAAGTGAATAGAAGGAAAGCATGCCAGTTGAAACCAACATACTGTCATACTTTTGGTATTGGAAAATTCTACTGCTGAAATCATGCTATCAAATTAGAACAACACGGGACTGTTGTTATTTAGACAAATTCTTGGGCATCTTGCATCTATTAATTCCAAATTCATAGGGGAATTATTGTAAAATGTCTTATAATTTGACACGATTAAAATTTATTGGCTTCTTTTCAAATTATCATCCGGAAGCGCATGGAGTAAGAGTCCACTGTAGCTTGAGAGTGATTATTGGATTTGGTTCTAGATTTTTTTTTCCAGTTATTTGAAAAAAAATAAAAACAAAAAAAGTTTAAATTTTTTTAAAAAGAATTGTTTTTTCTAAAAATAAAAATATATATATTTGAAAAATAAATTTATTAAGAAAAAAATTTAATTTAAATGAGTTCGATGATTTTTGCAAATAAAGTGGGATTATATATATATATATATATATATATATATATATATATATATATATATATATATATATATATATATATATATATATATATATATATATATATATATATATATATATATATATATATATATATATATATATATATATATATATATATATATATATATATATATATATATATATATATATATATATATATATATATATATATATATATATATATATATATATATATATATATATATATATATATATATATATATATATATATATATATATATATATATATATATATATATATATATATATATATATATATATATATATATATATATATATATATATATATATATATATATATATATATATATATATATATATATATATATATATATATATATATATATATATATATATATATATATATATATATATATATATATATATATATATATATATATATATATATATATATATATATATATATATATATATATATATATATATATATATATATATATATATATATATATATATATATATATATATATATATATATATATATATATATATATATATATATATATATATATATATATATATATATATATATATATATATATATATATATATATATATATATATATATATATATATATATATATATATATATATATATATATATATATATATATATATATATATATATATAAATTTAATAGAATAAAATTTGAGTACTCAATAATTAAACTATATTGTTATTATTATTAGCGTCTAAACGGACACTTCCGTATCCGTTTATCTGTTTTTTTTAATGAACACACGCGTTAAAATCTAAATAAATATTTTATTATTATTTAATCATGATTTAAATTTAAATTCTTTAGGTACTCTCATATTTGTAAGAAATTATAAAATATTATTTTTTTAATTTTTTTAATTAAATTTTTAAGTAATATGACATTTATTTTGCATGTCTCTAACATCAAAAATAAAAATTATAAATAAAAAATTAACAGTAAAATTCAACTACTTTAAGAAAGTGAATGGTTACTGTTTTAAATTTTCAATAATTCACAAAAAATAAGAGAATTTTTTCTTGAGGGCCCTAATAAACTAGAGTTCGGCCTGAGGGGTCATAAGTTTGACCAAACATTGTTTCTACCAAGAATCGAACTCGGTATTTCTTGAATATTCGTTCCTTAACAAAAACTCATTTACCACTCGAGCCCAAATACTTGGTTCTAACATCAAAATAGAGTTCTAAATAATTTATTTGAACACAAAATAATGAATACAAATTATTTTAGAAATAGAATAAAATAACATCAAAATAATATTCTAAATAATTCATTTGAACACAAATTATTCTTAACTATATGAAATAAGTGATGATCAACAAAAACTGAAACTATACGAATCAAGCATGCATGAAATCTACAATAACAATATAATTGCAATATGAGATAAATTATTCCATAGTCAAACATAAAGAATCAAAAAATTATACACACAAAAAAAAAACATAAATAAAACAAAATTGTATCAAAGTAGGATGTAAAATTTAACATTTTTGTGTAATATAATTTCTTCAAACATTTAAATGATTGAATTATTCTAACATTTAAATGATAAATAGTAAGTGATATAATTGGTTAAATAACAATTTTTAAGTATAAAATAGTGATATATTTTAGATTGAGATAGATCTCAATTTCCCTAGATAAGATGGGTATTACCTTTTTTTTTTCTTTCAAATTTGCTGCTTGAAATTATATTGTACATGCAAGTTCTGTTGGTAAAGTCTTTTCCTCATCGGTTGCTGTCATATGAGAAGGAAAAGTGACGGATAAAAATGAAGCAAAAAATTTCAAATGAGGGAAGTTATTCAGTTACCTTATATTTTGTTTTTTAAATATGAAAATGGTCACAAAATGACTTTTTGATTTAAAAATGATGTAACCGTCTTTCACTTATTATAATTTATCTTTTAAAAAAGTAATTTGAGTAAATAAAGGGTAAAATAGGAAAGGAAATAGGACTATGTGTAGTGTCTGGGGTTTGTTGCAGTTTTGAGGAAGTACTCTGGGTTGGTTCCTGATATGGATTTGATGTTTGATTGTATGGATAAACCTAGTACTAACAATGGAGATAGAAATAGAAGATGATTTTTAACTTGTGTCAAAACAAAACAATTAATGGAAGTTATAGATGTGAGATTTTTTTGTGAGAGAGGGAAGTTAGTTTTTTAATTGGTAACCAACAAAAGGTATCAACAACTAAAGTTATTTATAAAAATGATGAAGGGCAATTTTGGAACAAAAATAGGTCACTCCAAAAATTTGTATCCCCTTTATATATAACTTGATTATTATTATTATTATTATTTGATCTTACCGGCTGATCAGAACCTGAAATGGACCAGAGGCAGCGTCTGTGATGTTGGGTGTGAAAGATGAAGATGGGGTGTACTTGCAAGACATTCTGATGCTAAAGTGAGAATCAGGAGAAAAGAAGGCAAGTACAGAGTATTTGTGTTTGGGGATGAGTATTAAATACCTGACCTTTCAAATGAAAGGGTTTTTATAGTGCCTTCAACGCTTGGCCATTGGTCCCTATTTTCGGGGCGAGATATTCACTACCCAAAGAATAGGCAACTGCCAGAAACTAGTCATTGGGATGGGCAAAGGTGTACAGAACTAGCCGTTGCTATGGGCAGAGGCACAGTAACGCGCACAGGTGTCGTGACTGTTTTTGGATGGTGGAACCGTGCGTGACGGACATGAACTGCTGAGGAGGGGCAGTTGACCCTAGAGGTCAACCGACCAGCTCCCTCGGTAGAGGGGCAAAAAGGTAAATGTTGCCCTAAATTGGCCGAACTTAGGCAATTTGGCCGTTATAGAAGCAAAAGTGGATTGGGTAATGCCTAACCATTAGGCCTGTCCTCCATAGTGTTGCGGGCGGTAGGATCGTCATCCCCGACTTTCTTTAAATCGGCGAGGAACATGCGCAAGCTGCCTGTGAAGAGTCTCAGTAGAAGGACGATTGATTTTCCTTTCAGTTGTACTTTCGGCCTGCGCGCCATGTTTTTGTAACTTATTTTTTGTATGGGGCTTGCCCCCTTGGTAATGTAACATGTACAATTGCGGTCCTTGTTGTCGCTTTTTATTATAATGTTTATTTTCGGGGAATGTGGTCGATTCTGTATGATTTGTTTTCGTGCATGTTTTTACTTTGCTTTATTTTTGCTAAGTGTCAAAATGCTACTCGAGATGCGATTTCGTTATAGGGGGCTACTTTAATACAAGATTTATTGTTTCGGGGTTTGCTCGACAAGATATGTTCGACAGTGAGGGGAACTGGTCGAAAGGCCTGAGTAGCTTCCGGGCATGAAGGCGGAGCTCAAGTCACGTTTGTGGCCTGAGCTTGCAGCGTGAACTTCCCATTACGAGCTGGGTGTTCTGCCTGGCGTGGTACTGAGTCGACGGTGGGCTCGGTCGAGGGACCGTTGACGAGAGTGGGTTTTTCTCGTTCCTGAGCGAAAGCCTTCCTTGAGTTATTTTGGTATCCAATGCTTCTACCTAGGCGCGCACTTATGGTCAATGTGTTATGCTCGTCGTGTCGACAGCGCCTGCCGAAGGTTAAGGCTTTACCTATAATATTGTTTGAGCTTTTCGGCGTTCCATAGTCGAGCAAGTTCTTTCCCATTAAGAAGTTCTAGCTAGTAGGCCTCATTCTCAGTTTTTGCTCGAACACGATATGGCCCCTCCCAGTTAGCAGTTAGTTTTCCTTCTCTAGAATCTTTGTGATTCCTCCTTAGGACAAGACTGCTTACTTGGAACTCTCGGCGTATAACTTTGGCGTTATGGCTAATCGCAAATTTTTGTTTTAGTGAGGTCTCGCAAAGGGATGCTCCCGACCGGACCTCTTCGACGAGATCGAGCTCCTCCTTTAGTGCCTCGCCATTTGTCTCCTCGTCCAGGGGAGCTTCAGTCTTCCTGGAAGGCACATGAATCTTGATGGGGATCACTGCCTCAGTCCCGTACGCTAGACGGAAAAAGGGTTTCCCCAATCGAAGAGTGGGACG